CCCCTGTGACGTCATACCCCCTCCCGTCCGTGTGACGTCACCCCTCCCCCTGTGACGTCATACCCCGCACCCCCCCTCGGAGCTCCTGAATTAGAACCGGCCTAGTATCACTACTATTGTAACTATCTATCTATCTAGTAGAATGGTATATAGGTATTGGTGAAGGTTTCTTCTAGCCTATACAACACCAAAACCAACACGATAACACAAGAGATGTTATGGTGCAGGTGAATTCTTTCACATTGATATATGTGCGGTTCTATGTCTATTTACTTCTAATTAAAAAATTAAAGCACAATATATACCTATTTCAAACCATGTTGAGTCCATTCCAGAAAATATGAACCAAACAGGTTTGTTTTCATTTTTATATGCTTGAAGAGTTTTTACTGTATGTTGATTAGAATCTAGTATAACAAATCCTCTCCACGGATGGCCGTCTATGTTATCCGCATGAATGTCATGCAGTAAACGGATATATTCTACATCTATCGGTTGACTTATGACCTAGAAGCATAACGTTTGAAACAATTGGCACAAATTTAATAGGAGATTGATACTATTGTTAGTAGAATAAACATGTAATATTAATACTTTTGCTACTTACGTCATTTAAGAACGACTTCACCGCTTCCTCGGTGCGTCCAGATAAAGTAACGAGTCTTGGCAAATCATCACTTAATGCATCCTTATTGATCTTCACTTTAGGATTCCATTTTAATAATATATAGATGTCCGTTAGCTCCTCCGAAACCAAACGAACTGATACCTATATGACCAGTTTTAAGTGGCGTTAGTTCGTTTACTACACGTATGGTTCCATTTTTTAAAGACTCTATGTCTTCTCGTGGCGATGTGAAGTTGATGTTTGGTGGAATAAAACCAGTTTCCATTGCTATTATTATCTTGAAAAATGTATAACACTTACTACTAATTGTTATTAATTAAGTTAGTGACATAAATTTATTTTTTATTGCACTTTGCTTTTGATGTAAAATATTTTATTCTCAATTTCTTACCTTAGCGATTTGATTAAGAGGATGCTGAATCGACAAAGAAAGTCAGTCACAAATGCCACTTAGCAGCTACACTGTCGGGTAGCTGGCGCCATCTCTCAAGACTGAGTCGAACAAAAATAAGGATAAATGACATGAAAGAGACAAGGATAGACATATTTGTCTCTCCGGCGCTGAAAGCAAAAAGGAATAGATTATGTATGACGGGTAATAGTACTCCGGCGTTTTTTGCTAAAATTGCACTAATAGTTGGTTTATATTTCCTCTTTTTAAAAGCTTCAAAATCTTCTTCTAAAACATTCAAAATATTCGTTTATGTCTCTAGAATGGCTCGGACAATTTTTGTTGTGATTCGTACTGCCGATTTTGTATACGAAGTGAAAATGTTTGTCTACGTGGTAGCAGTTTAAAAACTTTTTTTCGTATTTCTTGTTAATTTTTCAACGGACCATATTTTAGCATATTTTCTTTTATTCTGGAGAAGCGTTTTTTATTTCGATCAATGGTTGCAGAGTAAGTTGTGATAGCAACAGCAGTGATAAAACAGGAAGGTTCAGCATCCTCTTAAAAGTACTAGATGACTCTGAATGACCTAGATTGGATTTTACAGAACCGATCAGTAACGAAGATTTCTTATCTTTGCATAGAGCATTACAGATTGCGTCAATCTCCTGTGGATCGCCAGCTATCGTACCGGTACCGTGCGCTTCGATATAATCTAAATCTTTTGCTGACATATTACCACATTCTGCGTAAAATTCTGTTAACAAAACTTTTTGAGCGTATTTAGAAGGAAATGTTATTCCTTCGTCTTTATATCCGTCGCTATTTAATTTGATATGTTTACATGTAGCATAGTTGCGTTTTGCATGCTTTGCTTTCTGCAAATATATCGCTGCTATTGTCTCTGAACGACAGTAACCGTTTGCTTTACGATCAAACGGTCTGCATCTTCCAGTTGGTGACAAAACACCTAAGATCAAATATATATTAGATATATAACAATTACGTTCTTAGAAAATAATTATACATATAATTTTTCTACATATATTGAAAAAGTAAGTAATTGTAATAATACTACCGAGGCGAGCAAATTGCAGAGTCATCGGGTAAGTTAAACATAAATTTGTTCCTAGAATTAATGCATCTTCGCATTGACCGGATTTGATGTACGATTGACCAACTGCTATTGCGTGAACGCCTGAACTGCAAGCTGCATCAATTACGACAGATGGTTCTTTGACATCAAGCCAATGAGAAATTAGGTTTGCCGCTATATTTTTTGCACAACCAGTAAGGTTTTTACCATGTACCTTAAATGTGTCGAAATATAAGATACTGTCAGATGAACAATAAGAATCTGATATAATTTTTACTTATAAGTTATATTATTATAAATATTATGCTACATAATATTTTTTACCTGTATGTCTCGATATAGAAGAATTTTTTGAGCTTCGAAATAAGTTACTGCTACAATTATAGCAGTATTCTTTCTTCGTAATATTTTTGGATTAATTCCTGCATCGATCAGCGCTTCGTAAGAATGTTCCAACATCATCCTACTTTGGGAATCTAGTAGATGTGCTGCGACATCGTCGACGTTAAAAACTTCAGCGTCGAATTTATTTATGTTATTTATTATGCCCAAAGATTTTGATACGTCCGAAATTTCTGTGTTAGGTAATACTGTGTCAAGGTAGCTCCGGACATTTGAAATTTGTATTTTTAATAATTGTGCCACATTTTGCTACGTTTGTACCGGTTTGTGCCGCAAATCGCAGCTCAATAATTTAAACTATTTTTCAGAAAATTAAAACAAACGAAATTTTTGCTAGCCCCGCACTTTTCGAATTTTGAAGTATTTTTGATTGTGCTGTATTGTGCTACTTTGTGCCGCAAGCGCGCTAAATATATAAGGCCATATTTGAGAAGATAGATAGATAGATAGATAAAAGTTGAGCGAGGGGCTTATAAGTCCCTTGGTGTCACCTAGATCCATGTGATTTTCTGCGACTCTTGCTGTTGTTTATCGACCAAACTGGTTCAGCCCGGCATTTGCTGCCAGGCTACACAGATGGCTGATCTTATATTTTTTCAGTTTCTCAGGCTCCGAAAACATGGAGCCGAAGTATCTGAACCTCTTGAGTACTAGAGAGAGGCAGCGACACAATATGTGCACGCTGTCCTCTTTTTCCTCACTGCACAATCTACAGCTACTCTCTTCAACTAGGCCTAAGTTGAATAGATGTGCCCTAAAGGCCCAATGCCCTGTGAGAAGTCCGATACACAATCTTTGTTTGTACTTACTCATTGTCAGTAGTTTCTTTGTCCTACCTGGCAATGGCTGGGTCATCAGGGCTTTAGCTTGACGGCAGCTTTTTAATTTTTGCCAAGAGGCTTCGTGCTCTCTCTTCAGCCAGTCCCTGATGTAGTTTTTCCCTACTGCAAAGGGTACTCCAACTTTCTGACAAACTGGTTCTTCTAGGGTACCCAGTTTTGCCAGACTATCAGCAACTTCAGTGCCTTGGATACCTTGATGGCCAGGTACCCAAATTAGCTTGATCTTGTTGTTCTTGCCCAGCTCCTTTAGAGCTTGCATGCAGTCCCAGACCACTGATGATTCAGTGGTGGTCCTAACAAGAGCTCCTATGGCTGCTTTGCTATCTGTGTAGATGTTAATCTTCCTAGCTTTTGTCTCTCTTGAGAGTAGGAGTCTTGCACATTCCAGGATGGCCAGGACTTTCGCTTGAAAGACCGTGGCCAGCGTACCCAGGGGGAAAAACTCCCTGTGATTAGATCCTGGACAATAAATGCCTGCTCCAAAGCGGCCGTTAGCTCCAGATCCGTCAGTGAACCATGCATGTTCACCTGGTTGGATCTGAAGATTTTTATTTTTTCAGTCTGCCCTGGTGGTCAAGTTTATAGAAAACGCCTTGTCCACCTGGTATCTTTTGGATATTCTATCTTGTTTAGAGGTGAAGGGAGGTTTATGAAGAAATTCGAGTCTGGTGTGACCCAACCCGAACTGTCTCCACTCCCCCTGACACCTCAGTCTATATGCTGTGAGTCTGGCAGCACTGACAATTGTCAGGTCCAGAGGTGGGATGCATAGCATCACCTCTAACGCCTCCGTTGGTGTTGTTCTCATAGCCCCTACCGCAGCCCTCAGGTAATTACCTTGTAGGCTTTTCAGTAGGTTCTTTGTCCCTATCTTTTCCACCCTAGGCCACCAGACCACAGCAGCATATGTTAAACTCGGTACTAGTACCGCCTTGTATATCCATAGGGCAGTATTTAACTTAATGCCCCAGGATTTGCTCATAGCTCTTCTACACGCCCAGTAAGAGGCATGGAATTTGGATCTTTTTCTATCGAGATGTGTTTTCCAGTTCAGTTTGGTGTCTAAGTAGATTTCCAGGTACTTAACTGACTGGACGTATTCTATTTCCTTGTGCCAGAGTCTAAGCGACTCAATGGCTTCAGATTTATATTTCCTGGTGAAAATCATGGCCTTGGTCTTTGATGGATTTACCCTGAGACCTTTTAATTGACACCAGTCTTCCGTAATCTTAAGAGCTTTTTCCATAGTCTCCTTAAGTGTTGAAAAAAAGTTACCCCGTACTACAATGGCTACGTCATCAGCGTAGCTAAAGACAAGGAAACTTTTCTTCTGAAGTTTATATAGTAGTTCATCCATCACTAGACACCAGAGCATGTGGAATAAGACTCCCCTCTGCGGACATCTTTTGGCGGGAAAACCATAAACCGTTGAGTCCTCATGACTGGCAGTCAGGGTTTTTCCTGTTAGCATGCTTTGTGTCCAATCTGCTAGTGCAGCTGGAATGTCATACCTGGTCATTGCTTCCTTAATTACATCATATGAGGTGCTATCAAAAGCTCTCTCAATGTCCAGAAAGACGCCCAGAGCATATCCCTTTGCCTCCAACTGAGCCTCGACCCTGCCCACAAAGTGGTGCAATGCAGTGTCCGTGGACCTGCTCTCCCTGTAGGCATACTGGGACGAGGCCAGAGGATATATCAGCAAAGGTCCGTTCTTCAGGAATCGATCGACCAGCCTCTCCAATGTCTTGAGCACAAAGGAGGTAAGGCTGATCGGTCTGAAATGTACACTCGGTGTCGCCTGGGTAGCTCACCAACCGGCAGCATACGTAGAGGAGTCCCCCTCACTTTTAAATCAGGGGAGTGGACCTTGAGCCACTCCGCCGATTCTTCATTGGCGCACACAATAATGAGTGCGTCATCTCTCTCCCAGGAGCCGGTGAAAGTGGGGGCATTGTCATCCCCGGACATGTCGAGGATGAGAGACCTGATCCGTTTCTTGATCTCACTCACTTCATCGGCTCCTATTTTCTTGTCAGGATAGTCCTCATAAGCGAGGGCCATCCTGACAAGTCCTACGGTCGCCTGGGCGTATGACCCCTCATGTCTGGGTCTCTTGCCTTGGCGATTCGCTGATGGACTGGGGGTAGTGTGCTCCGGCTTGGCGCGCTTAAGAGAATGCTGAACCGTCCTGTTATACCGACATTTTAGGAAAAAGAACTAATTTTATTATTTACTGAATCGAATCAAAAACGCTTTTCCAGAAGTAAAGAACATAAAGAAACAGTACTCTGTCTGATACGTAAACCATTGAAAAGAACCAAAAGTAACATTTTTCTACTATCACTTGATCATATTTTTCTATTTTTAAATAATTTTTAAGTATTGTTTAAACATACAGGCACCAGGCAGAGAAGCGGATGCTATAAAAGAATATCCTGGAACAATCAGAATGTAATTTCATTGTCTAGTTTACAAGAATAGTTCGTTTTTGTCTAATAAAGCATAAGCTAGCTTTGCGCCTGAAAATATGCAAAAATAACACTATAAAGTAGTACATCAGCGATCTTTCGGGGTTCGGAAATGTAAGGTTATAGAACCGCTCTCCGGCAGTTCGCTATACATCATCACACAGATGACATGTAAGGTTATAGAACCGCCGGAGAGCGGTTGATGACTTTGGTTGATGACATTATTTATAGTTAGGGCATTTGTGAACTTCCTATTTATATTTTCCATGTTTGATTACCTAAGGTTCACGTTGAGGCTCCCGTGTTTGGATCAATAATTTTAGCCGTAGTATTGTTTAACTTTTGAGAAAGAATTCATGTCATATAACTTTTATCATATTGATTTAGAATTTTAAAAATTAATGATTGTAAATAATTTTAATAAAATAAATAATTACATTAATCATATATATTTCATTTTTATAATAGAGGTTTTTTTACATTATTTTAAATTGAAAATTTTGTTAATTTAAAATTAAATTTTAATTTTTAATTAAAACAATATTATATACGTTTAAAACTATGATAATTATATTTATGCAGATGATTTGAAGATTTGCAGATGATGGAATTTATTTAAGTAATATTAAATAAAGGTAAAATACTTATATATAAAAAGATATTCTAAATTAATATGTAATTTTACGTTAATTATAGTTTTCCCTGATTGAAAATTATTAAATTTAATTAAAAACTTTAATTTGAAGTAATAATAATTTTTAATAATATATAATTAACTTTAAAATTTTACCTTATATTTAATATTAATATCTATATTTAATGAAAGGTACAATAAATTTCTTAATTAAATTAAATAATTATATTAAATTAAATGTTATGTAATAAAGAAATTTATTTTAAAAATTATCCCAAATTTATTACAATAAAATAAAAAACTTTACAAATCTGAAATATATAATATTGTTAGGTAGGTATCGAATAATGTTATATGTAAACAATTTTCTCCAATAAATCTTGTATTTCTTATAAAAAGGTTACAATGGTTACAAAATGAAAGGTTACAAAGATTACAAAATGAAAGGTTACAAAATGAAAGGTTACAAAATGAAAGATTATAAAATGAAAGAGCTCGCTGTACATATATACACACACGTGTCATATCGTGTTATATCGTTTATAATAGAATGATGTTTGACAGAAGATATGTCAAGGATCCGCCAGGTCCAATTGTTGGAAGTACCTCGCCACCAGACAGATGAATAGATTTAGCGCTTCCAACTCCTCAACAGCAAAGGCTTTTTTGGGACTATGTTCAGTAGCGCGAATATATGAACACGCTCGTGCTAGCTTTCCAACCACTCAGATACTCTAGCACTTGCTCTGCGAGTATTTGATTGAAGCAAACTATATAATTCAATGTGTGTTACCACATTGAATGTGGTTACCACAAAGTAACCAATGTGGTTACCACATTGAATTATATAGTTTGCTTCAATCAAATACTCGCAGAGCAAGTGCTAGAGTATCTGAGTGGTTGGAAAGTGAGGAAAGACTTGATCACAATATAGACCACAATATAGTGGATCTATGTTTTACTTGTTATTTTGGACCAACTGTTATTTCCCGATACATGTTACACTTTGCGAAAACTAGCACGAGCGTGTTCATATATTCGCGCTACTGAACATAGTCCCAAAAAAGCCTTTGCTGTTGGGGAGTTGGAAGCGCTAAATCTATTCATCTGTCTGGTACAATTGCATCATTACAAAAAAAAACTTTTATACGAAATAATACGAGAATTATTTTCGGAACTTAGCGAGAAACTTCATTTTTTTAAAAAGTCCCTTCCTTTAAAAAGTCCGTCTCCTTTGATTCCCTCTCGAACAACTGCAACAAAAAATACAATAATTATTCATCTGTACCATTCATAGTAATTCATTTTTGTTTCAAATCTTATTAAACTATAAATATAAAACAAATGTAGTTATTATTGCTTTTTAACAATTATTATACTATATAAGATATGAAAATGATAATAAAAATCTTACTTTTATCGATAAAATCCGTATTGACCACTATTGTACGGATATGGTGTCATATATACAGGCGGCATTGGTGGCATATATGTCGGCACAGGTGCCGGCATATATGATGGTGTTGGTGGCATATATGTCGGCACTTGTACCGGCATATATGACGGTGTGGAAAATTTACGCATATTGCGTTGTTGAAATAAAATTTTGCGTTCCAGTTGACGCACTTTTCGCCTCAATCCATCATTGATACGCTAAAAATAAATATATTTACATAATACATGTATAATAAAATATAATTAATATTATATAATATAATTAAAAACGATATACATAAGAAACACATAAAAGACATAAGTGTGTGACTCTAAAGAGTTTCTGACAAATAGACATGTATTTGTAGTAACATATATGTGAGAGATTTTGTGTATGTATATGCAGTTTCATGCAATGACTATTGTGTGTCGATGCATTGTGCATATGTGTGTATATGAGCTCGCACAGTCATATACACACATACCAGGTGTATAAATATGAAACCGGAATTTTTTTTTAGAAAATACACGTTTATTGCATGAAAATGATAAGGAATATTTTATTCGAAGTATTGCCCGTTGCTAGTTACACATTTTTCCCACCTGCTTGGCAATTTGTGGATGCCACGCCAAAAAAATTGTTGCTCTTTTGAGCTAAACCAGCCATCTAGCCATTTTCGCACATTTTCGTAACAAGCGAAGCGCTGCTGAGCAAGTGCGTGTCCCATCGATGTAAACAGGTGATAATCGGACGGAGCCAAGTCTGGTGAGTAAGCCGCATGCGAAAGTATTTCCCAACCAAACGTCTCAATCGTTTCCTTGACCGGTTTTGCTGTGTGTGATGGCGCATTATNATGAAGAAAAATCACTTTACGTTGCCTGCTTTGATATTCCGGTCGTTTTTCAGACAAAGCTCGATTCAAATTGATCATTTGTTGACGGTAGCGCTCGGTGTTAACGGTTTCGCCAGGTTTTAGCAGCTCATAGTAGATCACACCTTGCTGATCCCACCAAACACAGAGCATTGTCTTCCGTCCATAGCGATTTGGCCTTATAGTCGATGTTGCTGCTTCTCCTGGAGCTACCCNTGACCTTTTACGCTTGGGATTCTCAAAATATATCCACTTCTCATCGCCAGTCACAATTCGATGGAGAAATGACTTTCTTCTGTACCTGGCGAGATGCATTTCGCAAGTGGTTTTCCGGTTTTCCTGCTGTCTTTCATTCAGCTCATGTGGAACCCATTTTCCTATCTTCTGGATCTTTCCCATGGCTTTCAAGCGTATGGAAACGGCTTCTTGTGTCACATTTAATTGATCCGCGAGTTGTTGTTGAGTTTGAGCGTCATCCTCGGCCAACAATGCTTCCAATTCGCTGTCTTCAAATTTTTTCGGTGGTCTTCCACGTTCTTCGTTTCTCACGTCAAAATTGCCATTTTTGAATTTTTTAAACCACTCATAGCACTGTGATTTACCAAGAGCATGCTCGCCATAAGCTTCGATAAGCATTCGATGCGATTCTGCAGCAGTTTTCTTCAAATGGTAACAGAAAATCAATGCTGTCCGCAAATCATAGTTTCCAGGCACAAAATTGGACATTTTCAACGCTATTACAAACGGTACTCTTGTATGAAACTTGTATTGTGGAGAGTGTAAAAATCTTTGCCAAATGTGAGAACAAGGAAATGGCGTAATGGCGCCGTCTGACAGCAACTACATTGACTGTTATGGCCATCTATTGATAAATTCCGGTTTCATATTTATACACCTGGTATGCACTATGCATCAACACACAATAGCAATTGCATGAAACTGCATACACATACACCTAACCTCTCACATACATGTTACAAATGCTACAAACACATGTCTATTTGTCAGAAACTCTTGAGAGTCACACACTTATGTCTCAGATGTGTATTAATTATTCTGAAGACATTTTCACTAATATAATATATATATTGAATACACATGAAAAAAGTAAGTGTAAGACTTTCAAGAATTTTTCTTTCAGAAACATATTTACGAACATGTATATACATGTGAAAAGTTAGGTACGTATGCAGTCTCATTATGGTACATCTATGCTTCATGTGTGTGTGTGTATCGATACATGCTATTCTACATGTACCGATGTATGTATACTAGCATATACATACATCGGTACATGTAGAATAGCATGAAGCATAGCACTTTCAAGAATTTTTCTTTCAGAAACTCTACGTGTACAGCTTCATTATAGTACATCAATGCTTTATGTGTGTGTGTGTATCGATACATGTTATTCTACATACACACACACATAAAGCATTGATGTACTACAATCTGACTATTGAAAACTACTACTAAAAATTATTTGTATTATAAATATTACTTACTTTTTGACCTGCTTCATATCGTGTTGGTTGAGGTGCCGAGGATTGCGATACCGCTGCCGAGGATTGCGATACCGCTGCCGAGGATTGCGGTACCGCTGCTGAGGATTGCGGTACCGCTGTTGAGGGTTGCGGTATCGCTAGATATCTT